TTCAAAGTGCTGGCTTTGACCTATACAACCCTATACGGCTCCAGTCCAGCGTACCAGTCCGAACGTATCTCCTTCTATGTCCCACCTCGGAGTTTAAGATCTTCTGGGGAGGCCCTGCTCTCGGCCCCGCCTCTGTCTCAAACATGTTTGGCGGGGACAAGGGTCAGGGCCTTCTTGGTGGTGGCCCCCCTGCCTGTGGAATTCACTTCCTGGGGAAATTAGGTCATCATCATCCCTCCTCACCTTTAGAAAGAAGGTAAAACCGTGGATGTGGGACCAGGCCTTCGAGCAATTAGGTTAAAAGGACAATTGACAATGTTGACTATGCCTTAGAAGTGAATTATGGATAAGTTAAACGGAGAACTCAGTCATAGTATATGGCTAGATAAATGGCCACCAGACTAGTAATAGCTCAATGGACTGTAAGTATATTGTTTTCATATTTATGTCTTAATGTTTATGCTTTTAACTGTTATAATTGCTGTTTTGTATTTTATTATGTGGCATTGAATTGTTGCCAATTGGAAGCTGCCCTGAGGCCCCCCCCCCCCCCAAGGGGTTGAGAAGGGCGGGGTAAAAGTGTTCGAAATAAACAAATAAATAACCAGGGCAACGAGGAGACTAAAGTTGTGGTGGTGCGTGGAGCTGAGGTTTGACGTTTAAAATGTTTTTACTGGAGGCACTTTTTTGAAGGAGGAACTCATGATGACCCCAACCAGGATCCTTTCTTCCAATATCTTCAGCCGCCTTCTTCTGAGGTAAATCTTCTTCTCAATAAATGGACATGAGTCTTGATTATTAAGAACTGAGATATTTATTTAAGGATTCACTGACAATTCCAGGCACTGGCTTGCCTTTTTCTCCCTTCCGCTTTCCCCTTCGCTCACGAGCTAATTCCTAATTTAAAGAGGCCCAACTGACTCTGTAAACACACAGGCTGAGGACTTAAACCCCCGGGTTCAGGGTCTCCACACACCAGAACCCAACTTCCACTCTTGTCCGCTGACTAAAAGAAACGCACTCTTTCCAAACGCCTGCCCCGGCCGAGTGGCAGTTAGCTCCGCCCCTTTGGCTTCTCTCACTTGGATACATTCTCACAGCCGGTTCCGTCGCTATGGCAACGGCTCAGCTCAGGCGAGACATCAGCTGGCCTGCACTTATATCGTAACATTAATCAACATTTTTAAAACGTACATTATAATTAGCTATTTCGTTACGGCCTCTAACCAATGGCAGAGAGCAAGCCACGTGGCAGAGAAGGACGTGGACATACAAGCCGCTCCCATCCCACCCAGGTGAGGTGTGAGCAAAGAGGGAGAAAGGAGGCCGTGACTTCCTTGGACGTAGACACCACGTCTCCTCTTGGCACAGCCTGGGATCACATTGGCATTTGTGGCTGCCACATCACACTTTGTTTTTTCAAAATAGTTTTTATTCAAAGGCAAGAAAGAAAAGCATGTTTATACCAATTACAATTTTGGGATTTTTGGAAAGGAATCCTTATCAAACATGAAAGACTGAACAACACACACCCACATAATAATAAGAAAACTAATATAACAACCAATCAACACAACTCTTGCCACACAGGGATTTTTACCTGTATTTACTCACTTCAAATGCTGTTCTATATTCACTCTTCCATTTCTAAATATAGTAAACTCATTCCTAAAACCCACAGTAAACAAATCTCCCCTCATTGTTATAACTCGTGAATTATTAGTGGGTCCCAATCTCGTTTCATAGAATCCTTGAGTTGGGAGAGACCTCGTGGGCCAACATCCAGTCCCAACCATTTTCTGCCAAGAAGCAGGAATGTTGCATTCAAAGCACTCCCGACAGATGGCCATCCAGTCTCTGCTCCAAAGCCTCCAAAGAAGGAGCCTCCACCTCACTCAGGGGCAGAGAGTTCCACTGCTGAACAGCTCTCACAGTCAAGAAGTTCTTCCTCATGTTCAGGTGGAATCTCCTGCCTTGTGGTTTGAAGCCATGGCTCCATTGCGTCCTAGTAAATAAAGTTGCTCTCTCCGTGTTTCCCCAGAAATAAGACACTGTCTTGTATTCTTTTTCAAGAAGACACGCTATGGCTAATTTTCAGGGGGTGTCTTCTTTGTATGTCCATGGCCAGGACTCAAGGGAAGAGGAGGAGGAGGAAGAGGAAGAGGCGACCCAGGGCTTGGTCCCTCCTTGGATGAGACAGACAACACCTTCCTCCCTTAGTCTTCCCCCCACTTTCCTACACACTTTCCCCACCCCAGTCTTCCCCTTTTCTAGTTGACCCCTTCCTATCCCATTCTGTTTTACTTTTCCACCTCACTTTCCCACTTTTTCAAAACACTCCTTCCCATTCCAACTTTTCCTTGATTCCAGTCCTTCTTTCTCACCCACTTCCCCAGTCAGTCTTCCCCACTTTTTATTATTCATATACACACAGCATTTTCCCCAAAATATATACTGTAGTTAAAATTGTATTCTATTATTATTACATTCTATTATTCTATTATTATTTTACTCTATCACTATTACATTTATTTTATTGTGTTAATATTATTTATTATTTTTCTCTATTTATTATTATTACATTTATTATTTTACTCTATTTATTGTTCTTATTATTACACAACCTGGGGATCACAACCAGATACAGTGAAGACATCTGCCCTTGCGCTATGCTACTCTGCTGCTGAGTACGCATGCCCAGTGTGGAACACATCTCACCACGCTCAAACAGTGGATGTGGCTCTTAATGAGACATGCCGCATTATCATCAGTACATAACACAATCAGTAAACTAATCTCACGCTCAGTGTTCCATAAATCCATTCCGTTCAGTCAATTCCTGTCCATCATCTGTGCCCTACACCACTGGAGAAATTACAATGCTTAGCCGGTATTGCGCCACCTGACATCCGCCGGGAAGGAGCAGCCAATAGTGAGAGGACCAAGGCAGAGACATCTCCAGCTCATCTCCTGTTTGGGTATCAACCAGCACGTCAATGACTTAAATCTAGACATAGTTTTCTAAGATCTACAGAGACACTCGCTGAAACACCTCAGCAAGCGAGAGTCCAACAGTGGCAGGCTCAAACTCAGCACCTCAACCAATGGCTGATACCAAATGAGAGACTCCCTCCTGGGCACACAGAATTTCTGACTGGGCGACTTGGAAGGCACTGAACAGACTGCGCTCGGGCACCACGAGATGCAGAGCCAACCTTAGGAAATGGGGCCACAAAGTGGAATCCACGACATGCGAGTGCGGAGAAGAGCAAACCACTGACTACCTGCTGCAATGCACCCTGAGCCCTGCCACATGATGCACAAGGGAGGACCTTCTTGCGGCAACACCAGAGGCACTCCAAGGGGCCAGGTACAGATCAAAGGACATTTAATCAGCTACCAAGTTTGCAAAATTTGTGGTTTTTTAAAATCTGTTTGTTTGTTTTGTTCTGTTAGAAATGTATTTTTATTTATTTATTTCGATTACTTCTACCCCGCCCTTCTCACCCCCGAGGGGGGACTCAGGGCGGCTTACAAAGAAGGCACAATTCGATGCCGATGTCAACTATACATGCATACAAAACAGCAATTAAGCCATTAACAGGTTAAAATCATCAGTACGTAACACGATCAGTATACTAATCTCATGCTCAGTGTTCAGAGTTCCACAAATCCATTCCGTTCAGTCCATTCCTGTCCATCATCAAGGTCCTTCCTCTACCTGCCAGAACGTCCCAATGCCTCCTGGTCCCACATCCAAGTTTTCAATTCTTTTCTAAATGACAAGAGGGAAGTCGCCGATCTCATCTCCCCGGGGAGTGAATTAATGTTCTGGTTGCAGATGACACGATAAATAAATATTATTACATTTATTATTTTGCTCTATTTATTATTAATAATACATTTAATATTTTATCCTATTTATTATTATTGGAAGGATACGTAAGCACATTTACACTGAAGAAGGTTAGAATAATGATTTAATCAGAGTTCGCCAGTCTTATCTCAAATTACCGTTTTATGCAAATATTCAGAAATATTTTTAACCTATAGATGCCTCAATTATTGTAATTTTATTGGTATCTATTTTTATTTCTATTCTTGAAATTGGCCAAGAGCTGCTGCATTTCCCTCCCTCAGCTTATACTGAAGTCAATAAGTTTTCCCAGCTTTTGTGCTAAATTAGGTGCCTCGTCTTATATTCGGTCAGCTTATATATACGACATGTAGCTACTCCCCTGTGTGGGTTATTTGATGGATACTCAGATGTCCACTCTGACTGAAACTCTTTCCACATTCCACGCATTTATGTGGTTTCTCCCGTGTGGATTCTATGATGCTTACGCAGAGTCCCACTTTCACTGAAGCTCTTTCCACATTCCATGCATTTATGTGGCTTCTCTCCTGTGTGGATCCTTTGATGGGAACGCAGCTTTCCACTCTCCCTGAAGCTCTTTCCACAATCCATGCATTTATGTGGTTTCTCCCCTGTGTGGTTCCTTTGATGGGTACGTAGATTTTCACTCTGACTGAAGCTCTTTCCACATTCCATGCATTTATGTGGTTTCTCCCCTGTGTGGGTTCTTTGATGATTACGCAGATGTCCACTCTGACTGAAGCTCTTTCCACATTCCATGCATTTATGTGGCTTCTCCCCTGTGTGGGTTCTTTGATGGAGACGCAGATGTCCACTTACACTGAAGCTCTTTCCACATTCCATGCATGTATGTGGCTTTTCCCCTGTGTGGGTTCTTTGATGGAGACGCAGATGTCCACTTACACTGAAGCTCTTTCCACATTCCATGCATGTATGTGGCTTTTCCCCTGTGTGGGTTCTTTGATGGATACGCAGACTTCCACTGTGACTGAAGCTCTTTCCACATTCCATGCATTTATGTGGCTTCTCCCCTGTGTGGGTTCTTTGATGCTTACGCAGAGTCCCACTTTCACTGAAGCTCTTTCCACATTCCATGCATGTATGTGGCTTCTCCCCTGTGTGGGTCATTTGATGGATACGCAGATCTCCACTCTGACTGAAGCTCTTTCCACATTCCATGCATTTATGTGGCTTCTCCCCTGTGTGGGTTCTTTGATGGATACGCAGATCTCCACTCTGACTGAAGCTCTTTCCACATTCCATGCATTTATGTGGCTTCTCCCCTGTGTGGGTTCTTTGATGGATACGCAGATTGCCCCTCTGACTGAAGCTCTTTCCACATTCTATGCATTTATACGGCTTCTCTCCTGTGTGAGTTCGTTGATGTCTAGTAAGAGAACTTCTCGCAGTGAAACATTTCCCACATTCCATACAGTTATGTCGCTTCTCCCCTGTGTGTGATTTTGACAAGGAATTGAGATTTTCCATTGTTTTACATTTATGATTCTAATATTATGCCAGAAGGTCACAGATATGTTCTCCTGATTTCCGCCTCTCAGTCCTTGTATTGCTCTAGTCCGTTTGAACAAATAAATTACCAAGCCCCACTGTTTACAGCACAATCCTCCCTTTCCTCCTTGAATACACAGCTATGTAGCTTGAAATATAACTTCTCCAACTTATTTCTTGTGAGTGCTGTGTAATTTCATTCCTGACCTAAGCCAAAGGGAAGTGTTCTTCACAAGGTTCATTCAGAGGTTACCTGCCAGAGAAATGAGAGGAAAAACTTATTGGAACTATTAGAATTGGAACACGGAAACAGAACAGATAAAGGAAAATATGATTAAATTCAAACAAAGAGATGATGATGACGATAAGAATAATAATAATCTTTATTTATACCCCGCCATCATCTCCCGAAATGGGACTTGGGGCGGCTTACATGAGGCCAAGCCCAATCAACAAATTACAGCAAAAGAAAACCAAAAACACATGCCACAAACAACATCATAATTACATAAAACACATGAATACATTAACGATATAAGATTACAATAAACACAGTCACAGTGACAATGGGCGGCTACATGTGCGAGAAAATGATTGTATAAACCTATTAAAATTGATTAAAAACTGATTTAAAACACAGGTGAGATGAAAGGAGAAGCAGGTTATTTGGGGAGGGGGGCTCATTAAAACGAAGATTGTGGAATCGAGCTTTCCCACGAAGGGGGGGGGGAGCATACTCCAATGACAAGAACATTGAGGCTGAACAATAGTATGAGGTTGTATACCTACTCACCAAAGGCGCAGCGGATAATAAATAACCCATTGAAATTTTCGTTCCTTTTCTCCCTTACCTAACCCCCTACTCACTCTATCCCAAATTCTTTTAATGTAAACAATGAAAATCCTTGTAATAAAGATTATTTTAAAAAGAAAGGACATTGACAAACTGCAGCAGGTTCCGAGAAAGGCAACAAGGACGTGGAAACATTGAAATGGCAAAGGAAAGAAAAGTCAAGGCAACCATCTGCATTCACTGAGGAAACAATATTGTGGCCAAGACTAAAATGGGGTGCCAAAGGTGATGCTTGTGCTACGGCTAAGGCAGTCGGAGGGAAGCCATGAGACCCATTGCACCCACCACTGGCCCCTCTTTGGCCCCGGAGCCCATTTGCAGGGGTTTCATTGAGGATCCCCTGCCAGTGGAGCTGAGTCTGGACCCAACTGAGAGCCAGCAACACTTGCGTTCCCACTGGAATTGCCAACAAGGTGACTGGCTGGGCTTGCCTACTTTTGCAGGGATGGCTCAGAAGAGGCTTCTCATTGGTTTCAACTGTTTATTTTTAATAGTGTCACTGTTCAATTTCAATGTGTGTGTTTTTCAGTTTTCAATGACATCCTGTGTTTCTTTGGTTGTAAGTGGTTTTGGTCTCCTTTTGAGAGAGAGAAAGAGGGAAGGCGACTAAAATAATCAAGGGTCTGGAGAACAGGCCCTACGAGGAGCGGCTTAAAGAGTTGGGCATGTTTAGCCTTCAGAAGAGAAGGCTGAGAGGAGACGTGATGAGGGCCATGGGTCAAGATCTGTGAGGGGAATGTGTCCTAGGGAGGAGGGAGCAGGCGTCCTTTCTGCTGCCCTGGAGACTAGGACGCAATGGAGCCATGGCTTCAAACTACAAGAAAGGAAGGAGATTCCTCCTGAACATGAGGAAGAACTCCAGCCTGTGAAGGCCAGAGAACAGAGCGAAAGAGGCAGGAGGGGAAACGGAGGCCGGAAGTCAGGAGGCAGGGCAGGGCTCTCTGGCTCTTCCCAAGGGATCCCAGTCTCTTATGTCGGGAAAAAGGATCTGAAGAGGCAGGAAGAAGGCGGCAAGAGGCAGGGGAGGGGCATCTCTGGCGGGGAGGGGAAGAAGGAGGGAGGGAGGGAGGGCTGCTGAGTGTCTTGTTTGAGGCCCCTTCTGCACTGCCACAAATTCCAGATTCCTAGAGGTCAGAGAATCCATATTGTCTGCTATGTGCTGGAGGACATTTATTGTTTATTTATTTGCGGCATTTCTATGCCGCCCTTCTCACCCCGAAGGAGACTCAGCGCGGCTTACAAGATATATAGACATGCATTATATTATTAGCATAGTACAATATGAGTATTATATATTTCCATATTGTACTATACCATTATATTGCAACATTATTACTAACATTACATGTAATATAGAAATTGAATCTAGGTGACTAAGGACAGGAAATATGGACAACGAATTCTGACTGTGGCTTTTAACTTGAGATATATGGGATTGTTATTGGTGGCCCAATAATTTGTAAATTGTTATTATATGCATATTGTTTTTAATTGATTGTTTTTAACCTGTTGTACACCGCACTGAGTCGCCGTTCCAGGCTGAGATATTGCGGTATATAAGAGTATCAAATAAATAAATAATAAATAAATAAATAATATAAAATACATAATTATACTATCATATTATTATTATATATTACAATAATACATGTTGTTGTTGTTATTATTATTATTATTACTATATACCACCCTTCCCACCCTGAAGAGGACTCAGAGCAGCTTACAACAAATAACAAATAACAAAGCCAGCGGACCTGATGGGATCCCTGCTGAAATCTTTAAAGTGGGAGGACCTGAGCTGACACACCAACGCCACCAGCTCATAGAAAAAGTGTGGGTGACCGAGAAAATCCCAGCAGACTTCAAGGATGCCACCATCATCACCCTCTTCAAAAAAGGGGAAAGAACAGACTGCGGAAACTATCGAGGTATCTCCCTCCTAACCTCCGCTGGGAAAATCCTCGCAAGAATCCTTGCAAACCGCCTTCTGCCCCTCTCAGAAGACACCCTCCCAGAATCCCAGAATGGCTTCCGCCCCTCCAGAGGAACCGTGGACATGATCTTCACTGCACGACAGCTCCAAGAAAAATGCAGGGAACAAAATCAACCTCTGTCCATGGCATTCATCGACCTTGCAAAGGCATTCGATACAGTGAATCACAGCGCTCTCTGGACCATCCTCCAAAACATCGGGTGCCCAAACAAATTTGTGAACATCCTGCGGCTCCTCCATGATGACATGATGGCAACAGTCTTGGACAGCAATGGCTCCCAAAGTGACCCATTTAAGGTGGAATCGGGTGTCAAACAGGGATGTGTTATTGCCCCAACTCTATTCTCCATCTTCATTGCTATGATACTCCACCTTGTTGATGGGAAGCTTCCCACCGGAGTGGAAATAATCTATCGGACAGATGGCAAGCTATTCAAACTCAGCAGACTGAAAGCCAAAACCAAGGTTACAACAACATCTGTTATAGAACTCCAGTATGCTGATGACAATGTCGTCTGTGCGCATTCAGAAGAAGATCTACAAGCCACTCTAAACACCTTCGCAGAAGCATACACGAAGCTCGGCCTGTCACTGAACATTGAGAAAACCAAAGTGCTGTTCCAGCAGACACCAGCCAATCCCTCTCCATTGCCAGAGATACAGCTTAATGGTGTCACATTAGAAAATGCTGATCATTTCCGCTCCCTTGGCAGCCACCTCTCCACCAAAGTCAACATCGACACCGAAATACAACACTGCCTGAGCTCTGCGAGTGCAGCATTTTTCCAGATGAAGCAGAGAGTGTTTGAGGACTGGGACATCCGCAGGGAGACCAAGGTGCTTGTTTATAAAGCTATTGTCCTCCCAAACCTGCTATACACCTGTGAGACGTGGACTGTCTACAGACGTCACATGCAACTCCTGGAATGATTCCATCAGTACTGTCTCTGGAACATCCTGCAAATCTCTTGGGAAGACAAGCGGACAAATGTCAGTGTGCTGGAAGAAGCGAAGACCACCAGCATTGAAGCCATGGCCCTCCACCATCAACTCCGCTGGGCCGGCCACGTTGTCCGGATGCCCGACTACCGTCTCCCAAAGCAGTTGCTCTACTCTGAACTCAAGAACAGAAAACGGAATGTTGGAGGACAGGAAAACAGATTTAAAGATGGGCTCAAAGCCAACCTCAAAAACTCTGGGATAGACACTGAGAACTGAGAAGCCCTGGCCCTTGAGCGCTCCAGCTAGAGGTCAGCTGTGACCAGCAGTGCTGCAGAATTTGAAGAGGCACGAATGGAGGGTGAAAGAGAGAAACGTGCCAAGAGGAAGGCGCGTCAAGCCAACCCCGACCGGGACCGCCTTCCACCTGGAAACCAATGCCCTCCTCACTGCGGAAGAAGATGCTCCACAGCCACCTACGGACCCACCCCCAGGTTACCACTCTTGAAGGACCATCATCCTCGGACTTACCAAAATATGACATCTATTCGGTAAAACCATAACAAATCCAACGTTTGAAACCTCCTAAAATGGAGAAAAGAAAACAACATATTAGCTGAACGTACAGAAGTTATGAAACTACTGGAAATTCTTAATTTATTTACTATTTATTTATTTACTATGCTTCTATACCACCTTTCTAAGCCTTATTCACGGCTTAATGGATTAATCCACAGTGCCAATGGCAAGCTGGATCAACTAAATGCCATTTTGAAGAGATTTCTAGAAGAAGGAAGGAGGAACGGAAGGAGGAACGGAAGGTAAACAAAGGGTCACGAAGAAGGAATCCAGAGGGAACCATGAGGGAATGGACGCCAGGCAGAAGTCCAGCTGGAACAAGAGAGGCCTCAAGTCAAGGCACGAGAGGCCTGCCATTTCCCGTCCTGAAAGAGGGGACCGGTCAGTCCATTCAGGAGAATCTCTTGCTCAACTCTGGGCTTCTCACTCACCAGCCTGAGAGAGGGTGGGAAAAGGACCAGATCTGCACCGGGATTGTGGCGCAGCTGGCTGAGTGTCAGCTGCATTAAGATCACTCTGACCAAAAGGTCATGAGTTCGAAGCCAGCCCGGGCTGGAGTGGGTGTCCAGCCATTGTGTAGCCCGTTGTCAACCTTTGCAACCCGAAAGACAGTTGCATCTGTCAAGTAGGAAAATAAGGTACCACCTTGTGTGGGAGGCTAAATTGAACTAATTTATGAGGCCATAAAGAAAAAAGACTCCGGGGAATGTGGAATGCGGAAGAACTTCATCGGTGTCGTTGATGGACGATGAAAAGCAGCAGCTCCCCTGGCGGCCAGAAAAAAAAAAGTTAAATAGCCTTTGTCTGTTAAACGTTGTTTGTCAAACTGGCATTGAATGTTTGCCATATATGTGTTTACTGTAATCCGCCCTGAGTCCCCTGCTATGGGGTGAGAAGGGCAGAATATAAGAACTGTAAATAAATAAATAAATAAATAAATAAATAAATCTGATTGGAGGAGGGGAAGGTTGGGCTTGAATTACTCCGTCCACTGACCAAGAACCAAAACTGAATAGAGCTGTTTGTTGTTGTTGTTGTTGTTCCATTTCTACCCTGCCGTATCTTCCCAAAGGGACTCAAAGCGGCTTGACATGAAAGCATTAGTATGCAATTTAAAATACAGAAATATACAAACATCAAAACAGAATTAGACACAAACAGCACTTAATATATTCCCAGGTAACATCCATCAAAAATATTCAAACACCACAACACCCCCGACGTGATCTTCAAAACCTCCCTCTTCAAAAGCCTGTCCGAATGAAGAAGTGTTAGCCAAAAGGACACTGCCCTATGGACCCCGTGATCACCGCAGGGCACCAAGTGCTGCTCTGGGCCAGAGTGAAGAGAGAGGGGGCCGGAAGACAGTCCCACCTTGTCCTCTGTGCCAGGCAAATAATATAATGTAATATATTGTGTATACATATAGTATTTATAACATTATAACATAATACAATATAATCCTAATGACATATTATAAATCTATATTTTATAGGACATGTAATATTACAATACAATGGTATAGTACAATTTAGTAACATAATACTGATATTGTACTATGCGAATAATATAATATAATATTTTGTGTATACATATAATATTTATAATATCATAATGTAATACAATATAATCCTAATAATATAATATAATGTAATATTTTGTGTATACATATATACATGTATTTATTTATTTGCTGTATTTGTATACCGCCTTTCTGAGCGAATTGGCGACTCAAGGCGGTTTCCAACAAATCAGAATACCTAAAACATAATAGATAAAGAACATTAACAGTATAAGACATCACCTCATCTGCGTCTCATTATTCTCAAGCATCGTCCAATCCCATTGTCAGGTCATTCGATTTCCTATGTTACGCTGTATTTGTAAACATCTCCTCGAATAGCCACGTTTTAACTTGCCTCCGATATTACTCATGATATTACAATACAATGGCATAGTACGTTATAGTAATATGTAATACTGATATTGTACTATGCGAATAATATCATGGAATATATACATGTAATATTTACGACATTATAATGTAATACAATAGAATCCTAATAATAATAAGATATTATAAATATATATTTTTATAGGACATGTAATATTACTAATAATATCACAATGTAATATATTGTGTGTAAATGCCACAAGTAAATGCCTCTTGTGATCCGCTCTGAGTCCCCTTCCTTCCTTCCTTCCTTTGGGGTGAGAAGGTCAGCACAGAAATGTCGTAAATGAATAAATGGAGAGACACAGAGTTGGAAGAGACTCCAAAGGTCCCCCAGCCCTGGAAGGAGGAGGACACCACACAAGCCCTCCCGACAGATGTCCACCCAGCCTCTGCTGAGAGACCCCCGAGAAGGAAGGAGGAGCCCCCCCCCCCCTGGACCCAGCCCAGGAAAGCCTCCCCAGTGTCCAGGGTGGTCAGGGCAGGAGAGAGTCGGGCGGGACCCTCGAGGCCATCCATCCCAACCCCCTTCTGTCAAGCAGGAAGGCACCACCCGATCCCTCCTCGCAGATGGCCATCCAGCCTCGGCTTAGAACCTCCAAAGAAGGAAGGAAGGAAGGAATCTCCTCCGAACTCCCAGGCAGTCTGGGGGAAGGGGGCCCCACCAGGCACAGAGAGAGAGAGAGAGAGAGAGAGAGAAGGGCGGCTGATCCATGTGGTAAACACACACACAGAGAGAGAGAGAGAGAGAGAGAGAGAGAGAGAAGGGCGGCTGATCCATGTGGTAAACACACACACACGCAGAGAGAGAGAGAGAGAGAGAGAGAGAGAGAAGGGCGGCTGATCCATGTGGTAAACACACACAGAGAGAGAGAGAGAGAGAGAGAAGGGCGGCTGATCCATGTGGTAAACACACAGAGAGAGAGAGAGAGAGAGAGAGAGAGAGAGAGAAGGGTGGCTGATCCATGTGGTAAAACACACACACACAGAGAGAGAGAGAGAGAGAGAGAGAGAGAGAAGGGCGGCTGATCCATGTGGTAAACACACACACACGCAGAGAGAGAGAGAGAGAGAGAGAGAGAGAGAAGGGCGGCTGATCCATGTGGTAAACACACACACACGCAGAGAGAGAGAGAGAGAGAGAGAGAGAGAAGGGCGGCTGATCCATGTGGTAAACACACACACACGCAGAGAGAGAGAGAGAGAGAGAGAGAGAGAGAAGGGCGGCTGATCCATGTGGTAAACACACACACACAAGAGAGAGAGAGAGAGAGAGAGAGAAGGGCGGCTGATCCATGTGGTAAACACAGAGAGAGAGAGAGAGAGAGAGAGAGAGAGAGAGAGAGAAGGGCGGCTGATCCATGTGGGAGAGAGAGAGAGAGAGAGAGAAGGGCGGCTGATCCATGTGGTAAACACACACACACAGAGAGAGAGAGAGAGAGAGAGAGAGAGAGAAGGGCGGCTGATCCATGTGGTAAACACACACAGAGAGAGAGAGAGAGAGAGAGAGAGAGAAGGGCGGCTGATCCATGTGGTAAACACACACACACACAGAGAGAGAGAGAGAGAGAGAGAGAGAGAGAAGGGCGGCTGATCCATGTGGTAAACACACACACACGCAGAGAGAGAGAGAGAGAGAGAGAGAGAGAGAGAGAAGGGCGGCTGATCCATGTGGTAAACACACAGAGAGAGAGAGAGAGAGAGAGAGAGAGAGAGAAGGGCGGCTGATCCATGTGGTAAACACACACACACACACAGAGAGAGAGAGAGAGAGAGAGAGAAGGGCGGCTGATCCATGTGGTAAACACAGAGAGAGAGAGAGAGAGAGAGAGAGAAGGGCGGCTGATCCATGTGGTAAACACACAGAGAGAGAGAGAGAGAGAGAGAGAGAGAGAGAAGGGCGGCTGATCCATGTGGTAAACACACACACACAGAGAGAGAGAGAGAGAGAGAGAGAGAGAAGGGCGGCTGATCCATGTGGTAAACACAGAGAGAGAGAGAGAGAGAGAGAGAGAGAGAGAGAGAGAAGGGCGGCTGATCCATGTGGTAAACACAGAGAGAGAGAGAGAGAGAGAGAGAGAGAGAGAGAGAGAGAAGGGCGGCTGATCCATGTGGTAAACACAGAGAGAGAGAGAGAGAAGGGCGGCTGATCCATGTGGTAAACACACACACAGAGAGAGAGAGAGAGAGAGAGAGAGAGAGAGAGAGAGAGAGAGAAGGGCGGCTGATCCATGTGGTAAACACACACACACACAGAGAGAGAGAGAGAGAGAGAGAGAGAGAAGGGCGGCTGATCCATGTGGTAAACACACACACACGCAGAGAGAGAGAGAGAGAGAGAGAGAGAGAGAAGGGCGGCTGATCCATGTGGTAAACACACACAGAGAGAGAGAGAGAGAGAGAGAGAGAGAGAAGGGCGGCTGATCCATGTGGTAAACACAGAGAGAGAGAGAGAGAGAGAGAGAGAGAGAGAAGGGCGGCTGATCCATGTGGTAAACACAGAGAGAGAGAGAGAGAGAGAGAGAGAGAGAGAGAGAGAGAAGGGCGGCTGATCCATGTGGTAAACACACAGAGAGAGAGAGAGAGAGAGAGAGAGAGAGAGAGAAGGGCGGCTGATCCATGTGGTAAACACACAGAGAGAGAGAGAGAGAGAGAGAGAGAGAGAGAGAGAGAAGGGCGGCTGATCCATGTGGTAAACACAAGAGAGAGAGAGAGAGAAGGGCGGCTGATCCATGTGGTAAACACACACAGAGAGAGAGAGAGAGAGAGAGAGAGAGAGAGAGGGGCGGCTGATCCATGTGGTAAACACACACACAGAGAGAGAGAGAGAGAGAGAGAGAGAGAGAAGGGCGGCTGATCCATGTGGTAAACACACACAGAGAGAGAGAGAGAGAGAGAGAGAGAGAGAGAGAAGGGCGGCTGATCCATGTGGTAAACACACACACACGCAGAGAGAGAGAGAGAGAGAGAGAGAGAGAAGGGCGGCTGATCCATGTGGTAAACACACACACACGCAGAGAGAGAGAGAGAGAGAGAGAGAGAGAAGGGCGGCTGATCCATGTGGTAAACA